CGTCATTATGGTCAGTTATTTCTCAAAGCAAGCAAGTATCTTGGCTGATAACAAAACCTTCTCAATTGTAACTTATCCTGTCTATAAGAAAACATATAATGAAAGAAGAACAGATATATGATACAAAGTTTGTGTTTGTTATTTTTTTTTAAATTACCTCTAATAGAACATTAAATCCAACTGCTGCACATACATCTTGGATTTCTGTAGATGTGGGATTTTCAACAGCCTGTTGAAACAATGTGTTGCAGTTAATTATTTTTCAATTATCAACTACCTATACAGGAATAGTTAGCAGTTTCCCACCCTATACTCTATAACCAGAAAAAGCAGATGAGGAAAGAGAAGAATCATTCAAATAATGACAAATCTACTGCAGAAGTTCATCTGTGAGTGCTCCTATGGTCTAGAAAACATTAAAAAAGCTAAGACACCACGAAAACAGGAAACAGATGAGACAATTAATTAGGACAGGGAAACGAAGTAAAAGAATTGTTTAGGAAAAGTAATTCAAATGAAATAACATTTATTATATTTAGAAAAAAAAACCCTCAAAGCCATGAATCAGCAACAGCAAACTTATAGCAAGGATTGAAAGAGAAAAGAGTAGAAACTTTCTCAGCACAGGGCAGCAGATTCCTCCCAAAGGATGGATCTTTGATTGGCAAATTGCATGCTCAAGAAAGATTTTATTTTTAACTATTATCAGAAAAACACCCCAAACCTAAGCAGTGAGAAAAGCCCTTTATATTCCCAGCACTGCTTGTTAAAAATATTATAAGGGAGTGAGAAGATCAAAAAGTGTTCCTAGAGAGAAAAGCAACAGCAATTACCATGTCTATGTGCCATATGCATGTTCTCTCTGACAGGGCATAGAATATACACATATATAGTCAGTCACCAAAACACAATTATTAGCTAGCTATTCCTTTCTGCGTCACTTTCAAGTTTGGCAAACTCCTTATGTAGGAGGTTGAGTGCATAAAGTTTCTCAAGACTTCACTTGCTTGCCAAAAGTACTGCTTACATGAAAGCAGACACTTAAACCCAGTGCCCTGCTACCAAATTCACATGCTGACACTGTGTTATCTTCAAATACACTGTAATTTCCAGTAGTCGAGCTACTTTCCATGAGGAATAGGAAAGATCAACAGCTCTGATATTTATTTTCCAACTCTCAACACACTACTGCGTAGCAAAACAAAACATCATATTTCCCTGCCACCCACAAAATTACTTTTTCTATAGGTATCCTTCTTCCTTCTGCTATGGTCTTCTTGTTATTCAAATATGCTGGATAAATGCAGATGAATCTAAAAAGAGAAAACAGTGAGTTTAACTGAATAGTAACAACACTGTAATTGCTTATGCGCTATTTTCCTAGTAAAAGAAAAAATAAATCTCATGGCTACAACACAGATGTTCCCATAGCAGCTTAGCCCATTTTGAGTTATCCAGGGCACTGCATGACCATTTGGCTAAAATGTTCCCTGCATGACACTGCTTTTTGTGGCACTGTGTGTACAAAGGATGGCGCTATCGATCTTGAGAAAAAAAGAAGGCTGAAAGAATGACCCATTTCATGAACTAGAAGGAAACATACATATTTCCCTGAAAAGAATTAAAGAAGGTTTCTTGAAGAGGTTGTAGTACACTAACTGCTGACTAAGTTCTTGACAGAAACAAGAAGCAGGTTTTTTTCACTAAGGATTTATCTTTTTTTTTTTTTTCTTTTTTCCTCCCTGTTCACACAGAGAAGAACACAGATTTGGGTAAGTTATAAAGCCTCTAAAAAACTATACTTAGACATTTGCTTAAGACTTTTCAGTAGATTTAAATGTGTCAAGCACATACAGGGGACGGGAGTGATGGAACCTCAATTATACTTATTAAACAATTAAAAAAACAACTAGCTGAGGCCTACAAGGAGAGGTTGAAGAATGCCTACATTTGAATAACCAGTGATGACAGCATAACAAAACAGAGAAGCAGAAAGTGAGCAAATAATCTGGAGCAGGCTAATGTTCTGTTAGTTGGAGACTGACAAGGATCACTGATCTTTACTGCTTCCCAGGAAACATGTCTTGCTGCCTCTAAAACTAGCCTCAGTCATTTCAACTCTTATTACTCTTCTCCCCCTAATTACCTTTTCACTGGTATTTTCTCCCATTAGCTACAGTCCCCTTCACAAGCCAAGGAACACTTCTGCCCAAGTGGCAGACTCTGCAGAGGCAATTTTCAGCCTCATTACTGATGCTCACAGCCATCAACGTACTACACTGACCACCACCACCTCTTGCTCCTTTTGCCTTTTCTGAGCTTTAAATGACACGATACGTCAAAAGAATGACAGAACGGCACAGCTTCAAGCACCCCGGAATCAGGAACTGCCGAATCTCAACCTCCCACTTCAACACGAGCATCGTAATAACCGCCCTGTGTGACCCCGGCCCAACATAAGCCCCCGCTGCCGGTCCCTCGCCTTGCTGCATCGCACACGGACTGCCGCCTCTGGGAACCAGCCCCGGTTCACCGCGACGGGGACCGGCCGGGGAAGCTCAGCACCCCTGCTCCACCAGCTTCGCCGCGCGGCCACGTTATACACGCCACGACGAAATTATCGTGCGTACCTGGAAATGTCATCAGGGGCGCA